AACAATGAAAAATACGCTGTTACATAGCATTCATTGACCAGTGAAATAAATGAAAACTAACTTTCCAGGGTTTATAAATAAGGGGGAGAAAGATAGTGGTAAGCGAGAGTTTCTGCCATGAACAGTCACAATAATAAGACACATTCAAGGTGAGGATGGTACTGGGGTTCGAACTCAGGAGCCAAGCCTTTGGAAGGCAGGCACTCGACCACTTGAGCCACACATCCAGGCCTTCTTGCTTGAGTTCCTTGTCTTCAAGTAGAGTCTTCAGTTTGTTTGTTTTTCAGTTTAGCTTAGTGGGGTTTTTGTTGTTGTTGCTTTTTGGCCTGGGGTTGACCTTGTGCTGAGATCCTCCTACAGTGGAGTTGGTGGTGCCACACATGGGTCTGTAGACAGAATAAAACTTGTACCTGCATTGTATGTGGTGCTCCTGAAAGTCCCCCTAGCAAGCCTCGATCTCACAGAGTAACTGTGGTAACTTGGGTAGTAAACCCAAGGAATCAAAACAATGCAGTGTTTTCTAGAAATGAACACTTTGATTTCCTCTCTTTTGATGTACTTGTTCTCATTCTGTGTTGATACAAGGGTCCTGTTCTGAATGATTTTGTAAAGAATATTTTATAGTTTGGATATGAAGCCTTAGTGTTTATAGACATTTAAATATTTGAGTATGTCTTTTTTGCTATTTTTAAATTAGTATTTGACCAGCACCTCTTCCACAGGTTGAATGTGCTCATCCTTTCAAAATAAAGGTGAGGACTATAGAATCTCATTTCGGTTTTTCTAGTTTCCATCTCTACATTCTTGTGCAATAAACATAGTTTTTCCTTAGTGTCTTCAATGGCTACTGAAAAACCCTCATATTAAATAGCACTATATTTGCTATAGACCTTCCTGTAGATCTTTTTTTTGGGGGGGGGGTCCAGTCGTGGGGCCTGAACTCTGGGCCTGGGCGCTGTCCCTCAGCTCTTCAGCTCAAGACTAGCACTCTACCACTTGAGCCACAGCGCCACTTCCGGCTTTTTTCTTTTTGTTTATGTGGTACTGAGGAATCGAGCCCAGGGCCTCAGGCATGCAAGGCAACCGCTCTACCACTGAGCCACCTTCCCAGCCCCTTCCTGTAGATCTTATATCAACTCTAGATTATTTGTAATAGCTGAACACTATAAATACTATGGAAGTTATTTTTATACAGTATTTCTGGGGAATAATGACAAGAATAATGTGTGGCCATATACTGGTGGCCAAACCTGGAATCCTAGCTACTCAGGAGGCTGAGATCTAAGCATTAAGAAGTTAGCCTGAACAGACATATAGGAGAAACTCTTTTCTCCAATTAACCAGCAAACAGCTAGAAATGGAGGAGTGGCTCAAATGCTAAAAAAACAAACGAGTGGAAAAAGAAAAGCAAGAGCATAACGCCCTGAGTTCAAGCCCCAGTACAAGCCCGTATACACCAAGAAAGAAAGAAGGAAGGAAGGAAGGAAGGGAGGGAGGGGGAGGGAGGAAGGAAGGGAAGGAAGAAGCGGAAGGAAGGGAGGCAGGAAGGAAGGGAGGAAGGAAAGGAAGGAAAGGAAGAAAGCAAAGATAGGAAGAAAGAAGGAAAAAAGAATGGAAGAAATGGAGGATGGAAGAAGGAAAGAAAGAAAGAAAGAAAGGAAGGAAGGAAGGAAGGAAGGAAGGAAGGAAGGAAGGAAGGAAGGAAGGAAAAGAAAAAAAGAAGGAAAGAAGACAGAAAAATGTGTGCACATACTCCATAGAGATACAGCATTCTAGGCCCAGCTATACCACACACCACTGGCAGTTGGTAGAATCCAGAGATGCAGAAGACAGTTCTGTGTTCTTTGGAGGCTGGCAAGTAGAATGAACCTTCCACTTACCCTTCCTGAGAAAGGGCAGACAAAAGAGAAAAGCAAATGCTTCATGGGCATCCTATCTGATTTGAAGACTAGCCCAGGGGGAGAAGCAACCAAGTATGCACCATGGCTTTGTTTCAGCTTGGTTTCTGCCATGAGTCATTTGCAGGGGACAAGGAATCAGTCGCTCTGACCCCCTCACCTGGTCCTCCCCAGCCAATGGCAACCACAGGGGTGGAACTCGGGATTCTGAGCAGAGCATGTGCTTGAAAGGAAAGAACATTAGGGCGAGTTCTATTCTAGGGAGGGGCTAGGAATGTCAGATCAAAGGTATTTGATTCTGAAAGAAAAAACCCTCGGCAAAATTATTGAGTCTTGTATTTCTCCCTTAACTACCTTCAGGTCAGTGATTTGCTGCGCACTCAGACTACGTCGGAAGAAAAGGTGCCAATAAGCTTCATTCTCCGTCTCTCTTCTCTCTCGCTCTCTCACTTTCCAGGCCTAGACAGGTGCCCCTGCTGCTTAACACATTGGAATTATATTTACGACCTTAACGTTAAATACAAGAGCCCAATCCACAACAGCTTGAGAAGACAATGCAGGAGCAAATCTTTGGTTTGCTGGCTTAGGCGATGGTTTCTTAGCTATGGCACTGGTACTAGGGAGGAATGGGGGCTGGTAGGGAGTGAAGGAAGCACAGGTTGAGGAGGGAGGCCAACAACCTCATTCCTTCTCCTGCTCCCCATTTACAGCCTCTTCATTGACTGGGCGGTGACATAAAATACTCAAGATTAGAGATGAACAGGGCATCCTGCAGCCTAGAGTAAACTCACTGGTGTCAGCTTCACAAAGGCACGTCAATCTTCCAAAAGGACAAATTTGGCCTTGACAAATTATATGGTGATAGATATAGGAAACATTTTTATGCAATAAATTGTATTACTGGAGGTGTTGATGTTTAAACTTAGCAGGTATTATTCATTGGGCATCCCTGTGTCAGGCACAAAGATAAAATAGTGTGCAAGGCAAAGACCAATAATGCAATCTTAGAGCTTGCGGTCTAGAGAGAAGGGCAGGCATCAGACTAACTATAAGAATAATAACAGAAACATGAAATTGGAGTTGGGATATAAAACTCAGACTGGAGGACAAAAGGGGCATTGAAGAAGTATCCAGAAAAAAAAAATGGGTAGAAAGAACAGGCAGGCAGATGATATGGAGAAGGGTAAGGAGAAATTGATACGCTATGCCCCACACCAATGGCTCACACCTGTAATAATCCTAGCTACTTAGGAGGCTGAGATCGGAGGATCGAGATTCAAAGCCAGCCAGGGCAGAAAAGGCTGTGAGACTCTTTTTTTGGGGGGGGGGTCCGGTCGTGGTGCCTGAACTCTGGGCCTGGGCGCTGTCCCTCAGTTCTTTTAGCTCAAGGCTAGCGCTCTACCACTTGAGCCACAGCGCCACTTCCGGCTTTTTTCTTTTTGCTTATGTGGTGCTGGGGAATCGAACCCAGGGCCTCATGTATGCAAGGCAAGCGCTCTACCACTGAGCCACCTCCCCAGCCCCAAGGCTGTGAGACTCTTATCTCCACTAAACTACTTAGAAAAAGCCAGAAGTGGCACTGCAGCTCAAAGTGGTAGAGCACTAGCCTTGAGCAAGAAAAGCTCAGGGAGAGTGCCCAGGCCCTGAGTTCAAACCCCAGGACCAGGAAAAAAAAGGATCTGACATGAGTTTTTGCTCATAAATGAGTTAAGCATTCCTGTAGACTGAGGTTAACGTGAGCTTCCTCCTCCCCGTGAGCTTCCTCCTCCACATGCTATAGAAAGAGAGCAGTGACAGGCTTGGGATGGGGGGATGTACAGGCTGAGTCAAGTTGAGTAGACCTGGGCTGAAAGTTCATATGAATGAGGACAGATGGTACTAGAGAGCTTCTTAATCCATCTAAGATTTCAGAATAAAAGATGAGATCTTTTTTTGTTGTTTTCTTGTTTGCTTTTTGCCAATACTGGCGCTTGAACTCAGGGCCTAGAGCACTGCTCATCTTTTTTTTTTTTATTGTGAAAATACCGTACAGAGGGGTTACAATTACATGGGCAAGGTAATGAGTACATTTCTTATCAAGCATTGTTGCTTCCTCCTTTGTTTCCCCTTCCCCATCTCCCACCCTCTTACCCCCTTGCTCATCTTTTTGTCATAGTTGATGCTCTACTGCTTGAACCATACTGGGTGTTTGATGGTTAAATGGGGGTAAGAATCTTGAAGATTTGTCTGCCTGGGTTGACTTCAAATCATGATCTTAGCCCCCTGTATAAAGACTGCTTCTGAAGCAGGACATGTAGAGATCTTCCCATAAACAAGGGTAAGAATGGCTTTACAGAGATCTGACTGGACAAGTCTTTGGATAATGAGTGATCAGAGCCAAAAAAGGGTAACAGTGAAAGTAATGTTTCCTTTAAAAAATATTTGTGCGTTTGTAAGTTGATTTATTTGGATGACTAAACCATGCTTTGAAAACCTATTGGCCCAATGTATTGGTGCTTTTGTTGACAGTTGACAAGTGAATTTATAAAGATAGGTAGGTAGGCAGGCAGGTCGGTAGACGAATACATACATATAGTAGATGATAGATATATACATAGATATAGATGGATAAATGGTAGATAGATACATTTATATAGCCGGGTAGATGATAGATAGATAGATAGATAGATAGATAGATAGATAGATAGATAGATAGATAGATAATGTAAATACAACTTTTTCTGTGTTATTATTTTGTGGCTTCTCTTTATTCTTGGAGCAAGAACTCCATCTCTTGTGACTTGCCCTCAGCCCTTTTTTCACTGATATTTGATGTAAATGTTTGACCATACCATCTTTTCTTACTCACTTGGTTGTAATCTCTTGGAAGAAAATTTCCATGGATTTTTTTCCTTAGGCTATTATGACAGGTAAGAGTTCAGTGACTGTTGATCGAGTTCTGTTAGCAGCAATATGTTGAAGAGGCATACCTCACATCAGATCATGCCCGCCCCAAGACGTTCACATGTGCTCCCCAAGAAGCCCCCCTTGCACAGGGAAGAGGAAATGGCACCCTGGATGTTCCCTAGGCTATGGAAACCTATGGATTCAACTCTATTCCAAATGACCTTGGTCGCTATTCTGATGACTCCAATTCTTGGTGAGTAATGAGGAGACAAGGCCTGTCACCACATGGGTTAGTTACGCATGTGCCTTTAAGGAGCAGCTAATAAATATCCACCTTTCCCATGGATGGCCTGGAATTTAAAGAAATTTGCTATACCAACCCCCTTAAAGTGCCATCTCTTTCTTTTTCCCTTGTAGAATTTCTTCCCTATGAATCTATAAATATTCATGACTTGGAATAAATACATATTACCTACCAGCATGACTATGAAGAAATTCCACTACTCCTGGGATTGCTTAGAACCCAGGGTGGGCAGTAATAATTCTACTGGGTCATGTGGAAGGAAATTTAGTACTTTAATTCTTGCCAAAGAAATAGAATTAAGATTTTATGTATTTATTTTAATGCAGAAGAAACCTTTATTTCAGATGTTTTTAAATTTTATTTTATTTTATTGAAAAGGTGATGAGGAGTGGGTTACAGTTACATAAGTAAGGCAATAAGTACATTTGTTTTTTTTTAATTTAATTTAATTTTATTTGTGAACATACTGTACAGAGGGGTTACAATTACATGGGCAGGATAATGCGTACATTTCTTACCAAGTATTGCATCCTCCTCCTTTGTTTACCCTTCATATCCCTTCCCAGCCTCCCCCCTCCCCCCCAATCCCAATCCTTCTCCTTCCCCCAGTACATTTGTTTTTAATCATTGTTACCCCATCCACCTTTATCTCCCATTCACCCCTCCTACTTCCTCCTCCAAGTTGTAACGTTTATATCCAGCATAGTGTCAAGTGAGTATCAATGTTGCTGTGGTTCATCCATTGCTCTGCTATTTCTGTGATTCCTTTTCCCCTCCACATTGTTTAATATGCGAAACACGAGGTACCAAAAACTAAGAGAAAGAAAAAAACAACAATAGAGAAAAAAGAATGAACTATATACAGGGTCTTGTTTCCATAAGTTGTAGTTCATGTTAATATGCTTCATTATACATAGTCCTTTGCACTAAGCACTTGGGTTGTTGAGATCTCTTCAGTAGATGAATGGAACAAGAAAATGTGGTATACATATACAATGGAATTCTATGCTTCCATCAGAAAGAATAGCATTGTTCCATCCATAAGGAAATGGAAAGACTTGGAAAAAATTATATTAAGTAAAGTAAGCCAGGCCCAAAGAAAAGCAGGTCGTATGATTTCCCTCATTTGTAAGACCTAGAATATGAATAAAATTTTATTTTTAAGAGCTTAAGGTAGCCTCTACATTGTGAGGATGTTGAAAATATTTTTTGTTTGGTATAGGAAATCTAATCAAAACCCAAATGCCTAAAGAACATCATGACATAGCTGTATTGTATTCGTAAACTGACATGTTGAATTTGGGACCTCTTTGTATAAAACTTTAAGATAATAAAATTATACTAATAAAAGGGCTATGATATCACTCAGTGACAAAGCACTTGCCTAGCAAGTGCAACATCTTGGGTTTGATCCCCAGTACCAAAAAAATAAAAGACAAAAAATACAGTAAAAAAAAATGAAGTTATGCTAATATAAAATGAGGAAAACAGTCAGGTGCAGGTGGCTCAAACCTGTAATTCTAGCCACTCTGGAGGCTAAAATCTGAGGATTGCAATTTGAAGACAGACCAAACAGGAAACCCCGAGACTCTTACCTCAAAAAAAAAAAAGCCAGAGGTGTGGCTCAAGTGGCCTTGAACAAAAGAAGCTCAGGGACAGTGTCCAGGCCCTGAGTTCAAGGCCCAGGACCATCGCCTCCCCCACCAAAAAAAAGTGGGGGGAAATGGACTTTAAAAAAAGCAAATGGCTTCTTCTCATTCTTACTTGTAGAGGATGTTAGTTTCACACATACTATTGTTATTTAAAGAATATTGCTTAATTATAAGCAAGAGGTGGTGTTACATAGCATGGACTCTGAATCACAGCTGTGGACATCTGAGAGAATGATATTGCATTCATCCACTTTTACCTTTTTGTGACTCATTCAGGGATGGACTGATGAACTTTTCATGATCATTGTTATCAGTAATCAGAAAGCAAGCAATCACTGTGGTCACTGAACCCTGGGCAGTATGGCCCTGCTGTCAATACCTTGCTACTCATGGGGAGGCATTGTCCCAACATGTAACTGTTGGTGTTCCTTGTCATTTTGATGTCCAGGTGACTGTAATCCTCCTCCTAGATTGCCATTTGCTTCTCCAGTCCACCCGTTTTATTTAACAAGGTTCAAAACTGGAACTGCTCTGAAATACGTCTGCAACCTAGGCTACAAGAAAATAAATTCAAGTCACCTTACTTGTAATTTCAATGGTGAATGGATGTACCCTGTCTTTTGTGTCAGTAAGTGTCTACATTTATTGTTGTTGTTGGTGGTGGTGGTGGTGGGGCTTGAACTCAGGGCCTAGGTGCTGTCCCTGAGCTCTTTTGCTCAAGGATAGTACTCTACCACTTTGAGCCATAGTACCACTTCCACTTTTCTGGTGATTAATTGGAGATAAGAGTCTCATGGACCTTCCTACCCAGGCTGGCTTTGAACCATGATCCTCAGGACTCGGCCTTTTGAGTAACTAGCATGAGCCACTAACACCTGATTATATTTATTCTTACCTGTACCTCTTATTCCAGCAAGTTCCCAGAAAAACTAAATAACATTTCTAATTCAGATGAAAATCTTTGAGCAAAATTGTCTTAGAGAACAACACTGCCTATATACGCTATTTAGAAGACATCAATTGGGAAAACGCCATGAAATATTTTTTTCTTACACAATCTAGCTTACAGCATCCATTTTCCTGTTTTACTGCCTCTCTGTGACCAGTTGCACATTTTAAAGAATATACACTTATGAGTATAATTGGTCAATATGTCACATCCTGTATTACCACAGTGATTTTATTAAATAAACAAAACATAGATATTTTTTCTCCTTAAAATATGTCAGAAAAAATGGGTTCTATATTTACCTTTGTTTTCCCCCATCATAAAAATTTAATGAGACAGAAAGAAGTTAGCACTGAGTTGGGTGTGGTAGTGCAGTTCTGTAATCCCAGTGCCTGGGAGGCTGAGGTAGGAGGATCATGACTTAAAGGCCAGCCCGGAGTGAGACCTTGTGTAAAAAACAACACAAAGCAAAGCAAAATGTAACCATTAAGAATAATCTGGGGATCTGTCAGGAAGCAGAAGTTAATTAAGCAGGCTTTCTAATGATATAAATATTAGATATTTTCTAATGAGATCGCTGATCATCACTTTCATTTCCCTCCCAGAGAAACAGTGCAAACCCCCAGGGGAGTTAATGAATGGGAAAGTAGAAATGAAGTCTAATCTTGCCTATGGATCAACCATACAGTTCAGCTGCTCAAAAGGGTGAGTACAAGGCAAGCTGAAATAATCTCCTTTTAAGGGATTTTGATAAGGGGCGAATACATTCATGTGTTCCAAGAATAAAAATGACGACGCATTCATGTATTCAAGAATTCTTACTTCCGGGGCTGGGAAGGTGGCTCAGTGGTAGAGCGCTTGCCTTGCATGCCTGAGGCCCTGAGTTCGATTCCTCAGCACCACATAAGCAAAAAGAAAAAAGCCAGAAGTGGCGCTGTGGCTCAAATGGTAGAGCGCTAGCCTTGAGCTGAAGAGCTGAGGGACAACTCCCAGGCCCAGAGTTCAGGCCCCACAACGGGACCCCCCTCCAAAAAAAAAAGAATTCTTACTTCCACCCACTTACCTCCCTCCCCTTTCCCTCCACCTCCTGACAGGAAGTGAGGGATAGTACTTACGAAAAGAAACATAATGTTGTGTAGCATTTTACTTACATAAACATACCAAGGAGCAATAGTTCAACCACAATTTTACATGGAAGATGTCTGACTATATGCTGACATCTTGCTTTTAGTTTTTTCTTTTCATGATAGGGTTATGGAACGAATGGCCCTTGCATTCTGCCACATGCTTACTTTATATTCCCAATGGGATGGTCTTTGGGAGAGGGAACTCACAAATGGTTCAGTGTCTTTAAAAGAGAGATAGAGGGCTGGGAAGGTGGCTCAGCAGTAGAGTGCTCGCCTCGCATGCATGAGGCCCTGGGTTCGATTCCTCAGCACCACATAAGCAGAAAAAGCAGGAATTCGTGCAGCGGCTCAAGTGGTAGAGCACTCGCCTTGAGCTGAAGAGCTGAGGGACAGCGCCCAAGCCCAGAGTTCAGGCCCCAGGGACTGGCAAAAAAAAAAAAATTAAAAAAAAAAAGAGATACAGGAGAAAGCTTGCTTCCTTCCATCTCTCTTCCACCTCCTGAGACCACAATAAGAAGACAGACACCAGGATTGGGGGGGCGGGAGGGGGTGGCGTGGGTATTCCTCACCAGAACTCAGCCATGATAACTCAGTCCTGAACTTCCGAGTCCGCAGCACTGTGAGAATGAGATTTCTGTTACGTTCTACACTCTAATTCTGTTAGAACAGCCTGAAGTAAGACACATATACACTGAAGAGCTTTGATTTTCCTGCACCTATTTAGCCATTCTGTATGTGTGTGTGTGTGTGTGTGTGTGTGTGTAAGAGAGAGTGAGCGAGCTCCTATGGGTATTATGCTAGCTTTTTATTACTGTGACAAAATAATCTGAGACACACAATTTAAAAGGAGAAAGCCTTATTTTTTTTTGCCCATGATTTTAGAAGATTCGATTCGTGGCAGCTTAGCCTCCATCTCCTTGGGCCTGTGGTAAGGCAGTCCATTATGGTGGGGGGAAACGCAGTAGGACAAAGCTTCTCACCTCATGGTGGCCTGAAAGCAAAAAGAGCAAGAGGAAATGACAGGGATGCCTCCAAGAGCATGTCCCTAAATGAGCTACTTCCTCCAACGAGACCTAGGTCCTAAAGTTCCTACAGCCTTCCAATAGTGCCACCATGTTGGGACCAAGTCCCATTGTTATAAGGCGAAAATTCAGAGAAGCCACATTTTGAAGGATTGAATCTTGGCGTCTTTATTAGAGCACTGGAAGTCTGCAGGCAGTCAATGTTGTAAAAGCCTGCAGCCCACAAATACACTTAACACAGGAAACAGGCCAGAGAGGAAAGAAAGAACAAAAACAATCCTAACAAACCAATTCAGCTCCAGCGGAGAGCTGAATTGGGATGCCATGGAGACTGGAGACAAGACAGGAGACAGGACACGAACACGGAGACAGGTGGCATGGAGTAATGGCTCCTGTGCTGGTCTAGGCCTAAAGAGTCAGGGCAGGGGGCAGGGTCTCAGGAAATTCCCAGTCCCAGGCACTGGACTGACAGGTCCAGCAACCCATCGCCAAGTGCCTGCCCCTGCCTCCAGGGATTCGGGTACGCCCATCACCTGGGGGATGGGGTGGGGTGGGGAGGGTCATCACCTCCCCACCATGAAGACAAGATGCCAGACCCTACCATTCACCATGTGGCCAATATGGTGTCCCAGAACCTTTGGGGAATGTCCCAGATCCAAACAAGTTTTCTAATGACTGCAATATAGCATCATAAATTTATTTAGTGGTTCTCACATGTAGACATGTTGGTGTTTCATGTCTCATTCTGTGTATTTTATATGTGCATTGCTATTTGGGGCCCTTAGAAATCATGGGTACATGATAGCACAGACATGTATGCTGTTCACAGGAAGGGCAGCCAATATGTATGGCCTGCAGATGATGTTATAAATATCCAAGTGCCCCTTAGCAGAAAAAAAAGGTCCCTATCTCTAAAATGATAAATGTCCAGAAATCAGGTTGTTGGACTGGAGAAAAGGAACATTTTAGTTTTGATACGATTTATCTTTTTCTTTTTCCTTTGTGGTACTGGGATTTGAGCTCAGGGCCTTTTGCTTGTGGGGCAGGGACTCTGCCACTCGAGCCATGCTTCTAAACCTTTTTGCTTTTGGAATTTTTTTTTTGTCAGTCGTGGGGCCTGAACTCTGTCCCTCAGCTCTTCAGCTCAAGGCTAGCGCTCTACTACTTGAGCCAAAGTGCCACTTCCAGCCTTTTCTCCTTATGTGGTGCTGAGGAATCGAACCCAGAGCCTCATGCATGCAAGGCAAACACTCTACCACTGAGCCACCTTCCCAGCCCCTGGAATTTCTTTTTGGTCAGTCTTTGGTCAGTCATGGGGCTTGAACTCTGGGCCTGGGTACTGCCCCTGAGCTCTTCAAGGCGAGTACTCTACCACTTGAGCCACAGCACCACTTCTGGTTTTCTGGCGGTTAATTGGAGGTAAGAGCCTCCAAGATTTTCCTGCTTGGGCTGGCTTTAAACTTCAATCCTCAGATCTCAGCCTCCTGGGTAGCTAGATTACAGGCGTGAGTCACTGGCACCCGGCTTGCTTTTGGAATTTTTCAAGTAAGTCTTGCTTTTATACACACACACACACACACACACACACACACACACCAACACCACCACCACCACCACTACCTCCACCACCAACAACACAAATGAAGAAAAACAAACAACAACAACAACAACAAACCTCCAAAACATCACAGGCAATTGCTACTCAGAGGAAGATAAATGTCACTGACATCTTTTACCTATCTTTCCAGATATCAACTAGTTGGTGAGCCAACTAGTCAGTGTCATATCGAGGGAAGAGGAGTTAACTGGAGTAATCCTCTCCCAGAATGTGTAAGTAAGTAAAATTTATTTCTCACAATGGTTACATTCCTAAACCGTGTTAGATTATGTGACTCTGTGCATCCTCCATCTGAATGTTGAATTTGAGATGTGCAGTGATGGCCTCTTTGACTGTTCCTTTCTCCTCATCCACACCTCTCAGGTGTCAAGTGTGATTCTCCTCCGGTCATCAGCAATGGGAAACACAGTGGTGGAATTGAAGAAATCTTCACCTATGGCTCCTTAGTTACCTACGGCTGTGACCCCAACTTCTCACTCGTAGGCAACGCCTCCATTTTCTGCTCTGTGGTGAATAAAACAATAGGTGTTTGGAGCCCGGGCCCTCCTACCTGTAAAAGTAAGTCACAGAAAGACAAACTAATCCAATGAAAGTTGTTGTGTGTGTTTTCCTAGCTAAATTTAATCTTTTAATCAGGACAGCATAAGCTATGTTGGGATATGGATCCATAATGAAATCTGTGATTTTTTTGGTTTTGGGGGATTTTTTTGGTTGGCTGTGGGGTTTGAATTCAGGGCCTGGGCACTGTCCCTAAGCTGTTTTTGCTCAAGGCTAGAGCTCTACTACTTTGAGCTACAGCACCACTTCTGGTGTTCAGGTGATTAACTGGAGATGAGTCTCACAGAAACTTTTCTGCCCAGGCTGGCTTCAAACCTCGATCCTCAGATCTTAGCCTCCTGAATGGCTAGAATTACAGGCATGAGTCACTGGATCTTCTTTTTGGTTGATCTTGGGGCCTGAACTCTGGACCTGGGCACTGCCCCTCAGCTCTTCAGCTCAAGACTAATACTCTACCACTTGAGCCACTGCGCCACTTCCAGTTTTCTCTGCTTATGTAGTACTGAGGAATCAAACCCAGGGCTTCATGCATTCAAGGCAAGCACTCTACCACTGAGCCACCTTCCCAGCCCCAACCACTGGCTCTTCTTTTTTTTGTTTTTTGTTTTTTTGGGTCCGGTCGTGGGGCCTGAACTCTGGGCCTGGGCGCTGCCCCTCAGCTCTTCAGCTCAAGGCTAGCACTCTACCACTTGAGCCACAGTGCCACTTCTGGCTTTGTTTTCTTTTTGCTTATGTGGTGCTGAGGAATCGAACCCAGGGCCTCAGGCATGCAAGGCAAACACTCTACCACTGAGCCACCTTCCCAGCCCCAACCACTGGCTCTTCTATGGGAAGATTTTTCAAATTCTTTCTCATGTGCTCTTAGGCTAGGAAAGTTTTTAGAGTAATTCTTGTGCACATACAATAGTCAGGATTGTTTAGATTTTTCCAACACCCCCCTGTTATAACATCCTTAGACAGCTCAGCAAGAGAAGCAAACAAGAGCCCGGACACCTCGGCTCTTCAATTCTTGACTTGGAAGTCACACTTGTCATTTTGACCAGAATTAGTCTCTTACTTGTGCCTAGAGTCTGTTTATTCCAGAAGGAATGGACACGTTGTAGATAGTAACAACGTTAACCATTGTCTCACACAACCTTCCCAGGAGGCAGAAGCGGGAAGGCAGAAGCAATGTTTGTCCAGCAGTTCAGCTTGCTGGTCTAACACATTCTCTCTTTTTTTTTGGTCTGGTTGTGGGGCCTGAACTCTGGGCCTGAGCACTGTCCCTCAGCTCTTCAGCTCAAGGCTAGTGCCCTACCACTTGAGCCACAGCGCCACTTCCAGCTTTTTCCTTTTTGCTTATGTGGTGCTGAGGGATCGAACCCAGGGCCTCAGGCATGCAAGGCAAACGCTCTACCACTGAGCCACCTTCCCAGCCCCTCTAACGCATTCTTCATTCCCACTATGAAAGTGCCTTCAAAATACATTCCATTTCCTGATCTTAGTCAGCACAGGATACATCCAATACTGGGGTAAGATGATCCTAATCGTGAATGGAGTTCAACATGTCTGGAGTCAGGACGGCACCAGGGCATACAGCAGGAGCTGTGGCTGGGAAGGGTGGCACAGGCCAGATAATGAAGGCCGTAGCATGTCATACCCAGGAATCAAAATGAAAGTGAAGAGAAGGCATAAAAGGAGCAGCAATCTGAAGTGTGGGACAAGACAGATGCCCAGTTCAGTTTCCTGGGTACTGAAAGAACACATAAAGCTTTCTTATGTGTTTATTGTACCTACCTGTATCATGTCTTCTTTTGAGGCATGCCAACATTTGCAGTCACATCTCTGTCTCTCTCTCTCTGTCTCTCTCTGTCTCTCTCTCTCTCTCTTCTTTCCACCCCTTCTGTGTTCATTTGAGGTAGGGTCTCATTCTGCCACCCAGATTGGCTTTGTAACTCACCATCTTCCTGTGTCAGCCTCTGAAGTTGTAGTTACATGTTTATTGCTATTTCTCCTTTATAACTTAGACATTTTTCTTGTTCGCTTTTAGAAATCATTTGTCAGAAGCCCCAGATTCCGAAAGCAATTTTAGCATCTGGATTCAAAGCCTTCTATGTTTACAAAGACACCATTGTGATTAGCTGCATGAATGGCTATGTTCTCAGAGGCAGCAGTTCGATCCGTTGTGAAGTCAATAACCAATGGTACCCTTCTGTTCCCACCTGCCAACCCAGTAAGTACAGACAGTGTAGAGGTGGCTAGATGTGCCATATGAAGTTATGTGGAATACAGATGTGGGATGCTTTATAAGCACAAGCATCCTTTCATCCCAATATTCATGTGCTAAGGCTATGCTTTTCCATAGTTGTCTTGTTAGAAGGAAGATCTTGATAGCAATCTCTTAGCATCCTGGAAATATTTCATACGCATTATAGTTGTCACTCCAAGGATTTTGATGATAGATTAGATTATATAATCATTCCAAAACTTCTCCGGTAAGTAATAATAAACATAAATTTTATTTATCAATAAATTATAGATATGTCTTGAAAGATGGAAGGTGAAATTCCTCTTGAAGGAGAGTTCATATATACGTTGTGATGTATGTTGTATTTGCATATGCTATGCATACGTGATATATACATATGTATATATGTAATATGTTTTTGAATTCTATATCACTGATATATATGTTCATGTATATGTATGCATATATATGTATATATATGTATATGTACATATATATGATCTAGATATTTGAGTAGTCTTTATATAACATATCATAATACTGTTCTGAGTGGTATATATGCATACACATATACATAACTCAAAAATATTAGTAATGCCTATTTCTAATAGTTATACTCATTGAACACTTTTTCATACCAAACACCAGTCTAAATATGATGTGTTAATTAACCCATTTAATATTCACATCAGTTCTAAAGTTTATATCCCATTGCAAATATGATCAAACTGAGTTGTTAAGACACTAGTCCATTCACATACTGAATCAGTGGTGACAGACGCCATCACTGAATTGTGATTTGTCTGTCCCTTTCTGCTATCACAAGAACATAGGTGTCATTCAAACCGTGTAGAGATGGAACTCAAGAAATATTGAACTTGACAGATCAGTTTCTCCTTTTCATTTGACATTGACCATTAGTATATGCTTGAATGGCAAACATACCAGATTAAGACCCACCTTCAAAAGTTCTTGACATGACATCCTGGATTTCCAGGGGACAGTGTCCTAATATCAAGGGAAATACCTCTTAAATTAGTTCCGCCTTAGGCAGAGAGACCATTGAGTGAATCTTATCTTGGAGCGGGTGATTGCTATGCTTCTCCAGTCATGCTAATACCTCCTTCTGAAGAAGGCCATTCTGCAGTGCAGGGAGGTGGAAGGAGAATTGCGCACTCTGGTGGCTGGACCAACACCTAGCACTACCTCTTTCCTACACCGTGCCTCTCAGAAGCGCAGTGACCCCTCCCGCACAACCTCTCAGAGCCACAGCGGCTATTGAGAAGTGATGCTGCCTGATCTTCCTGATTTCATTATCCTTACTTCCAGTTGTTTGTTGAATAAAGCTACTATCTTCTTTTTTGTTGGGGGGGGGTCAGTCTTGTGGGTGTCTTTGGCAATCCTAGAAACCATTTTCATTCATCTTTATTCTTTCTTCCTCATGACTAGATGGTTGTACTAACTTACCAGACATTCCTTTTGCTTCCTGGGAAAGCCACATCTTTCCCACAAAAAATGTGACCATCTTTGGAGTCGGGACACAGTTAAAATATCAGTGCAAGCCTGGCTACCGATCAGTTTCAAAAGAGCCTCAGACTGTGATCTGTCAGGAAAATTTGACATGGACACCTTCCAGAGGATGTGAGAGTAAGTGGACTCAAAATGTCTTTTCCTGAATGTGCTCTGCTTCTTTTCTATTGACCATGTGGAGTACAGTCTTTGAAATTTCCTGGGACCTGCTCCATTGCCTAGAATATAGTCATTATTTTTGGGTACATAATTAGTGTGTGGTTGAAAATATGCATATTTTATAGGTTTGGTTTCAAAATGTATTCAACTGTTGATTTCGTTCATTTTTAAAACAAATTTTTATTTTGAAATGACATATCAAATGTACATAAATTCTGAATGGTATATTTTACTGCTGGTTAGTTTAACATTTTATTGCTATAAATGCCCTTTTCATTGCCATACTTTTTATCTTTTGTGCTTTTATTATTTTCCAAATAAGGTTGTTCTTTTGCCAGAGCTGGCCTGGACCTCAGTCTACCGCATTTATGCTTCCTATGTAGCTGATATGACAGGCAACCCCACAGTGCCTGTTTTTTTATTGGTTGAGATGGGGCCTTTTTGACCTCTCTGCACTGTTCTTTTTCTATCTCTAAAGATGCTACTATCCACTACTATTCCATTTTCCCAATCCTCTGAAAATCTTTAATCTCATTGATTTTTGTCTGTCTTACTGATTTTTTTGCTGTCTGACTTATGCTGATACTGGTATCTTCTAGAGCATTTTTTATTTTGTTTACTGTACTTACCAGCTTCAGGATTACTCTTTGGTATGTGTGTGTGTATGCGCGCGCACACACGCACACACACGTGCCAGTCCTGCGGCTTGAATTCAGAGCCTGGGCACTGTCCCTGAGGTTTGTTGCTCAAGGCTAGTGCTCTACCACTTGAGCCACCACTCTACTTTTAGCTTTTTTGTTGTTCAATTGGAAGTAAGAGTCTCACAGACTTTCCTGCCTATGCTGGCTTTGAACCAAGATCCTCAGATCTCAGTCTCCTGAGTAGCTAGGATTATAGGCATGAGCCACCAGCACTTGGCTATTCTTTGAGTAAAGAAAAAGCTATTAAATTTCTCAACTGTTTTTCTGTGTTTTCTTGAAGTTTATTGAATTTCTTTAGAACAATGGTTTTAATTCTCTGAGAGATTACATAGATCTATGACTTTATGGTCTATTTCTGGTACCTTATTGTATCTATTAATGAAAGTTCCCTGAAAGATCTTTATTGGTATATCTCAATGTCTGCACATTAAAGGATTAAATATTTATTTCAGTCACTGTAATCTGGATTTGATTGTGCTCATCCTTCCAGAAATTCTTGATAATTTTTTTTAAAGTTACCTGTAAGTAGTTGTATAAAGGAGTTACGATTCAACATACAAGTTTATAAGTACAATGCATCTTGATCAATTTTGTGAGTTTAACCACTAACATTTTTCAAAGGGAGGGTAAGGGTTTCAATAAAAAGATGTGCTTTCCTGATAATTTCATAAAATCTACATACCACTTTTTCTCTATCAGAGGTATGTTGCCCGAAGCCAAATCTGGAGAACATCAGAATCATAAGTGAGAGGAGAGACTTGACCCACGTATGTTTCTACACCTACGGAGACTATATTTTCTACATGTGTGATAAAGGCTACCTCCCTGTTTCAATTGATGGAAGGAGTTCATGCCAAGCAGATGGCAAATGGGCACCTAAAACGCCATCATGTAAGTCAGGTAAGAATACCGGGAGAACTGGTTCTTGTGATTTCCCAGGTGCCCCCAAATCATCATCCCATATGGATGATCCGCAAAATGGTGAACTTCTTAAGGCTTGGTGAGTGTGTGATTATTCTTCTAAGAAGTATTGCGCAAAGAAGATCACAGATACATGACAGCCACATTATGAGAGGCAGCCTCAGAAGAAATGACATGAGATGAGTATTTATGAGTTTCTTGTGATGGAAGACAGTGGAGTTGATGAAATCCCTCCAAGATTCATTATGTCATTTTTCTTGCATGAATTGTCGGTAAGCATAATGGCTGCCCTCTAAGACTTAATTTATAGGACTGCGTAACATTGGAAGATCTTAAGAGGAAGTAGTGACTTTGGTAGGAATTGGGGCCCTTAGAGTCCAGTGACTGACATCAGCCTTTTTATTTCCTTGCTTTAACTCAGACCTGAAGAACTATGTCTCTGTTACTATGCTAAACTTAGAAGAAGGAAAATCTAGAGCAGTAAACATCTGTCTCTGATAGGGGTAAGACACTGAAATGTCACCATTGGGCAGTCTCTTCAATATAAACAATTCTTTACAGCAAAGCTCGAGAAAAATGACTCAAGTGTGAGAAAAATGACTCAAGGGCTAGGAACTAATTTTGGAGGGCTTCATAGGAGACAGGATTATGTGGAGGAAGGGAGACAGCCAGAGATTGACCCAGAGAAAGTAGGAAGAGGAGCAAAGGTCACCACGATAAACCTCAGGGCCTTGATTCCCTGAGACTATAAGGAATGCCTTCCTGAATCCCCTCTCTTTAGGATAATAGCTTCACACACGTCTCCACTGGTCTATCCCCCGTTGATGTGGGTTCCTTGAAGGCCAGCCATTGTTTAGTTTCAACCCTGCTTCTTGGAAATGGACCTAATACAGGGGGGGAGATTGAGATTCACAGTGAATGCTTCTGTAGAACACAATCAGTGCAAATCAGAACAAAATCGTGTACTCCTTCTGAGACTGTTCTCAGAAGCAGCCCGAGGTGCTGCGACGTGGGTACAGAAGTTTCCGATGCATCGCTCAGAGCTGCTCAGAGCCTCATGTTAATTGCCCTGCTGCTGGTGATTTCAACTAGTGACTGGCCCCAGTCTCTTAAAGATAATGTACAGGGGTTGAGTGGAATAAACTACCCCTGCTGTTAAGGCTATAATTTTTATCATATTTTAGCAAGTAAATATAGACAAATGTTTGAATATATTTGTATAAATAAATATGTTTTATTTCAGCATATTATATTAATTTTACAAGGGGGTTTCATTGTAATAGTCACACATGCATATATACCATGTTAAGTCTGTCATTGATATGTCATTTGTACTCACTATCACCTGTTTCAGAATTCTCTTACCTTCCCTCAACACTTTAGTAGGCTTAGATTTCTTGCTATATAGGCTGACTCTGGTGATTACACTTGTCTAATGAGATTTCTTAAGGTCTTGTGTCTATTCCCTATTCCTTCAACACATTCATTAGTAGCTTCAGAAAAAAGATGTGTTGGGCTGGGAGGGTGGCTCAGTGGTAGAGTGCTTGCCTTGCATGCATGAGGCCCTGGGTTCAATTCCTCAGCACCACCTAGGCAGAAAAAGCCAGAAGTGGCGCTGTGGCTCAAGTGGTAGAGTGCTAGCCACGAGCTGAAGAGCTGAGGGACAGCGCCCAGACCCAGAGTTCAAGCCCCACGGCCGGCAAAAAAAGAAAAGAAAAAAGATGTGTCTTAATTCACTTTCCATGAGTCACAGACTCAGTGTCACAGACTGAGTAATTTATTGAAAATTTAAAAAAAGAAGCTTATAGTTCTTGAAGCTTGAAAATCTAAGAAGAATACCAAGGGCTTATATCTGCTGGGTTCTCCTAGACTGCATTAGAACATGGCAGAAGAGGGGCTGGGAAGGTGGCTCAGTGGTAGAGCACTTGCCATGCATGCCTGAGGCCCTGGGTTCAGTTCCTCAGCACCACATAAGCAAAAAAGCCGAAAGTGGCGCTGTGGCTCAAGTGGTAGAGTGCTAGCCTTGAGCTGAAGAGCTGAGGGACAGCTCCCAGGCCCAGAGTTCAGGCCCCACGACTGGACCCCCCCCCAAAAAAAAGAACATGGCAGAAGACAAGTAGGCAAGAGTGAACTGGCAAGACAGAACAGAGCTCACAGAATGCACTTCTAAAACAACTCCTGCACTCTCTCTTTCTCTCTCTCTCTCTCTCTCTGTCTCTCTCTGTCTCTCTCTCTCTCTCTGACTCAGGGTCTGGGGACTATCCCTTCATTTTGTGACTCAAGGCTGACATTCTTCCACTTGAGCCACACCTCCACTTCTAGCCTTTTGGTGGTCAATTGGAGATAAGGGTCTGATAGACTTTCCTGCCCAGGCTGGCTTCAAACCATAACCCTCAGATCTCAGTCTCCTTAATTGCTAGGATTACAGAAGTGAGCCACAAGTGCCTGGCAACTATTTCCAATTTTTCACACTCAGTTGATTCTCCTTTGTGGTCTATATAGAAACAAGACGGATCAAGAAAAGGTCTTTATTGGGTCTGCTCCCTTCATCTTTTCCTAACAAATACAACTGTTTACATTGGGCCCAGGAAGATCCTAAGGATCCGTCCTCATGGGAAACGGAAACTATGGAATGTAGAGTCATTCATACACACATGAAGAAAGGGGGACATCAGTCGACAGCCTAATTTCTACCAGATGCAAATTCCCTAACCTTCTCAGTTTTGTTGCTGCTAAAATGCTGATAGTACCAGTATCTAATTCAAAGAATTACAATGAGAAATTAGATTGGATAAGGCTAATAAAAATTCAGCAAATAGAAGTGGTGCTGTGGCTCACATGGTAGAGCTCTCGCCTTGAGCTGAAGAGCTGAGGGACAGCGCCCAGGCCCAGAGTTCAAGCCCCAGGATTGACCAAAAAAGAATTTTTTAAAAAAAATCAGCAGGGCTGGGAAGGTGGCTCAGTGGTAGAGCACTTACTTTGCATGCTCAAGGCCCTGGGTTCGATTCCTTAGCACCACATAAGCAAAAAGAAAAAAGCCGGAAGTGGCGCTGTGGCTCAAATGGTAGAGCGCTAGCTTTGAGCTGAAGAGCTGAGGGACAGTGCCCAGGCCCAGAGTTCAGGCCCCATGACCGGACCCAAAAAAAAAAAAATCAGCAAATAGAAACATGCAGTACCTTCTCCTTAGATGTGACTGTTCAGATTATACCTAAGAAAGAAGAAAGCCAGAAATGGAGCTTAGAACAATTTGTAAGGTCTAAGCATAAATAGGAACAGAGTTTAATGTACTGTACTTTTAATGTAACTTTTCTCATCCAATGTTTATTTGGATGCCTTTTTCTGGAAATCATAGAATGTTTGAAATATGTTTCCATTCTAGCCTTGTGTCCAAAACCAGTGATAGAAAATGGAAAGCTGTCCATGACAAAGGACCACTATTTTGAACTGGAAAATGTCACCATCTATTGTAATGCTGGTTATAAAGTGGTCGGTCCTTACAATATCATGTGCTCAGAGAAAAGTATTTGGTATCCAGTGGTACCCAAGTGTGTGAAGGTATGTGGCACAATGCAGGGAAGTTCTGACTTCCTCCTCATATGGTGAACTCCTCCTTAACTCTGCCCTAGCCAACAGCTGTGACATCTGACTCTTGTTAGGATGCTTAAGTCATTTGCCAAACTTGGCAATTTTTGGCTTCCCAACACTGTAGCAAGCCTGGAAAGGTTTTCTGCTCTATGGTTGGAGTCCAAACTGCAGACTTCAGGGTCTCCTAGACATGGATGTAGAGACCCACTCTGTACATCTTCTACCAGAATTTATTCCATTTCTAGTTGGCCCCCAAAAGCTACTCAGCTGTCCTGATGGAGATATTCTATGGGTTCCCGGGGATGTTCTGTATTTTTTTTTCCTACCTCTACTGTGACTCCTCCCACCCCACCCTCCACTGCTCTTCAAGAGCAGATGTGGGCTCCTCTGCTTGGGAACACACCTGCTAAAATGCAGTCTCTTCAGTCAGCTTTCCTTAGTTTTCCCCTTCAGATCCCACCCTCCCCTAGCCATTTCTTTCAATCACCTTCAGGTGGTGCCTGCTGGCTGTGAACAAGTACTTGCTGGAAGCAAGTTGTTACAGTGTCTCCCACAATCAGAAGATGTGGTAAAGGCCCTACAGGTGTATAAACTACTTCTGGAGATTGAACAATTGCAAGCGCAGAAAGATAAGTGGACAAAGAGCTACCAGCCATTTCCTAAACCTAAGGACCTCAGGGGCCTACTTGTCCCTTTAAATAAATATATAGAATCCTCACTCAGCAACTTCACACATTACTAAGTACCAGCTCAGGTTGAGGAGTTTCTTGGCCAGAAGAACCTCATGTGGTTAGTTGTTGAAGATGAGTAGCGGCTGGTTACCTAGCCATTATGGTTCAAATGTCTACTTTCATTTGATTCTATGTTGGTTAAATAAATAATAATGTGTCAGATATGTTTGTTTGTGTTGTTATCCTTGCCAGTAGGTAACACAGCCATAACTTGCACTCAGTGCACATATCCATTGCCTAAAATGTCTGTCTTTAACTTCACCCTTCCCCTTCTTTTTTTTTTTATCTCAGAAAAAAAAATGAAAGCTGGAAAATTCAAGTTGTATTTATATCTCTATTTTTGCCTTACTGCTTCCACGTCTAGAACATGCCTGCTCTGGGCCTACAGAAGAGAACCAACACTTCATTGGAACGTCAAAGTGCACACTCTTCACTCTTCTGTAACGAAATACCAGAGCAAGAGCGAGAACATTGCTCGTTGCTCAGGCCCCTGAGAGCCCCCTTCGGGTCCCCCCGAAAGGATCCATCCCATCCATCCCTGGGGACCACGCAGAGGCAGCAGGCAGGCACAGGAGAAAGATGACTACAAGGTTTATTAGAGGAGCCATATTTGCCCGAGAGAGAGAGAGAGAGAGAGAGAGAGAGAGAGAGCGCACATGGTGG